AAAAAAAAAAAAAAAAAAAAAAAAAAAAGGGTCCTGTCAAATCCTGCCTCCGAGTCCTTTTTTTCATGTGGAACCCATCAAATCACAGAGGAAAATTACCATCTCAAAGCGTTGGTATGGCAGTGGCTCAGTTTGCAAGACACCCTTTTTCAATTTCACCATGTTTTAGAAAAAGAGAAGGATGGGATGTACTTATAAAGATGTGGAAAACGCATATTTTTGGCTCGTAATCACAAGGTTACGAGGTATTAACACACAAAAGGGGTTTTTGGGATCACGGGGTAGATCGCTTCAGGACAGAGTCGCTCTTTTCTTTTATCATTCACATTTTTGGGAAATTATTACTCACATTTAAAAGATTTTTTTTTTTGCATATTTAACTTTATCTTCTGCCGCTGGCACTCGGTTAACAAGTGGATGTTGCAAGCGCATTTTCAAATTGGGCGAACTTTAATTCTTCTGTGCTCTTGGCCCCGACGTCGTCTTTATACGTGTGCTTGCTTTTCACTTAACGAAATTAAACGTATTATTTATGATTTCATGGATGATGCAGACATTTTTTTATCAGCTCTTAAGTTTCAGTTAAAGTTTTTTAGTCATCGTTTGAAGTGAGTATGGAAATAATTCTTGTGGAAAATTATTAGGTTACAGTAAGTAATGGTGTCAGTTAACATATATCGTAATTTTTCAGCAAGCATCCCCCAGTGGCGTCGGTTAACATATTGAAAGTTTTCAGCAAGCATCCCCTCAGACTCGATCTGACGACGCCATCTTCCCGCGGTTATGCAACTGCACTTGTCCCTTTTGTAATCTCCTACAGGGACAATCAAGTTCCACTGCTCACACTTGATTGGTTGGCTTTTGTCCTCTCCAAAGTGTTCATAGTGCGTGATAGGTTAGCCTTCTGCCTGTCCAGGCTGGAAGTGTTCCGTGATTGGACACTTACGTTTCCTGCACCTGGTTGGTTGACTCGACTTCGCTCCAAACTGGTGGAGGTGCGCGACTGGACAGTCCTTTCTCCCGTCAACGTGTTAACGGAGCGTAATTGGTTGGGTCTCCCTCTTTCCAAACTGTTAACTGTGTTTAATTGGCTGCTCCTCCCGTGCTCCAGAGTCCCAGGCCCAGCTGATTGGTTGGCCCTTCCTGTTTGATTATTCAGGGTTTGCAGTTGGCTGGTCCTGTCTCTCTCAGGGAGTTTTGACTGAGTGCTGCTACTTCTGTCTGTGTTAATAGTTTGTATCCTCTGTCTGTCCTTCTCCCTCTCCAGACTGGTGTCCCTGCGCACCAGTCCGCTCCTCTCTCGCTCCAGGCTGGTCTGGATTTCTGCTCTCCTGGCCAGAGCCTCTCTCAGCTGGGTGCGGAATATCTCGATCTTCCCCTGCAGCTCCTGGAGCTCCCCCTCCCACAGGCTGGTCTGACCGGCCCTGCCCCCCAGGGGTGAGAGAACCAGGCCTGTGGATGCCAGTGCTGAGACAGGGCCCCCGTTGACTTGGAGGCTAATCTGTGGTGGGGCGCCAAAACCCCCGAGGTGGCCCAGCCCCAACCCTCCTAGGCCGAGCCCGGGACGGCCGACCATCCCAGGCCTGCCACGCACCGAGGCTGTGTGCGTGCGCAGGCGGTAGCTGTGCAGGGTCTCAAGGTCAAAGTGCACACGTTTCTCCTTTGGCTCGTGGGATGGCGAGGAGTTGCTGGTGTCTCCGGCTGTCGTGGAAGCAGGGAGGGATGTGGGGGGAGATGGGGGAGGAGGCTGATGGTGTTTCCGGTGAAGGGTGCAGTTCTCTGAGATGCAAGAGGACGGGCTGGTGAAAAGAGAAAGGGTATAAATTCAGTATATTCAGATATACTGTACAAGACACAATATCTATAAGAAATATGCAAAAAATCCTTATGTATATAATATATATGAGGAGATTATGTATTTGTCTGCGTATGCTTGTTTGTTGATTATTTGTTAGTTAGCAGGTTTACGCAAAAACGACTTTACATTACGAGAGACATTTTTGTGAACTTCTGAAGAAATAATAATTAGGTATATCTATGATATCTACGTTATCTGTGGTTGTGTGTTGGGCCTTGACGGAGAGAGCGATCCCTGAGTGACACTCTAGTTCTAATTTGAGACCTACTTCATCTTTTTCTGACCATAAAAAGATTATCAAGTGCAGAGTGAGCAAAACTCTGCACTTGATGATCTGATTTAATCATGTTAATGTCACTTGAATAACTTTTAGTACATGCAGTTCTGTTTAAGATCCCCAATAACGCTGTCACTGCCTCCATCTTAAAAAGTAATGTTGTTTATCAACTCATAAAAGTGAAATAAAATCTGCAAGCGTGTTCAGTCTGTTTCTACCTGTTGAATATGTTTATCTGGAAGTCTGGGAGATGCAGCTGTAGTTTTCAGAGGTAAATAAACTTGTGGCCACTCTGTTTGTTAAAAGTGATTTTAGGGTGAACCAGATTAGGCACGAGAGCAAGAGAGTGAAATATGAACCAGTCTGAAATAGTTTGTATTTAAAGAGATTAATTAACATCAGACACACTGAAAAATGTTGTCAACAAATTTGCTTCACATAAATGTCCCTCACTTTATTTAAACAACACATTGATGCATTTCATTTCAGACTATTATCAATGAAATATGAAAATTACTTTTCGTCGAGGCCGGTCAGCTCCTTCCCTACATCCTCGTACGTGGTGTGGAGGGCTCGGTGAATTTTCTGCAAGTAGAGAAGGGAGAGAAAAATTAAAAAAACATAAGCAAACCACTGATTAATAAATGAGCTCAATAAAATTGTTATGGCTTCACTATCGCTGAAATAAACCAGCAGAGATGATGAATCTGAATTTCTGAGAACCATTACTCGACAAGAACATCTGTGACAGCTATTCCTCACAAATCCTGCTGTAGCGCTCCTTTGAATAATTTAATCTAATGATTAGATTCATCAAGAGACGCCATTCCGCTTAGAATTTCAAGGAGGTTAAAGTATCGGTTGCATAAACCCTTTTTGATTCAGCTACCTGAGTGCTTAGGTTAAGAGAACATCTTAAAACCAAGTTATTAGGGATCTCTAAGCTTTCGTTTTTTCTCCCGCAGTGTGTCTGGAGATCTTTCACTGCAGATAGGATTAATCTTGACAGACTAACTCAGATGTCATCCACCTCAGACAGCTGGTTTGTGATGAATGCTGGAGGCTGCCTGGGAGTGTTTACCCTTTTTAGAACGATACAGCAAACAAATGTGAGCAGTCTTCATGTTCACATGGCTCGTTTTTTTTCTGCTCACAAATATTGCCACCGTGCCTCGTTTGGTAATGACTGGAGTTTCATAATAAAAGCAAAATATGACCTTTCGATTCTCAATTTGCGGCTCCTCTGGTGTCTGTTGTCATAAACCAACCAATTCTCTCACAGTATAAGTACTTCATTATCATTAATCATTGAGGGTGTGAAAAATAATTCAAAACAAATATTTCCTTGAAAACAAAATATGATTCAGTTGCATAGAAGATATTTCTTATTCATGTCTGTTATGACTTTCCAACAGTAGAGGGCGTAAGTCATCTGCAAGAAAAGAGTCGACTACAGGGGGTGAGGACGTCCTCACCAGCAGCAGCATGTTTATGTGTGTAACAGTATTTGTCTCTGAGTGTCTCTGAACACGAGTTACAGCGTGTGTGTGTGTGTGTGTGTGTGTGTGCGTGTGTGCGTGTGTGTGTGTGTGTGTGTGTGTGTGTGCATCAGCAACACAAACAGAATGTGCTCCACTCACCTGGCTGGTGTGCAGCCAGTACTGCAGTGTGTGTGTGCGGCGGAGGCGAGGGATGACCAGGTGATAGAAGGTGTGCTCGCCTGCCAACGTCAGCAGGGCTCCACCCACCCCCATACACAGCAGCACAAACAGGCCTGAAAAATGCTGGATCCCCATCTGAAGAGTCTGAGGGGGTGACACACACACACACACACACACACACACACACACACACACACACACACACACACACACACACACACACACACAGCGAGGTGGGAGAGTGACACAGATTAATAAAGACTTACACTGACAGAGGGAAATGCAGAGATTGATGAATTGCATCTACACAATCACCATTTAGGCCTCTTTTTGCCATTATGAAATTGATATTCTGACATTGTGTAAGCCCACGATAATGGAAAAAAAGAAAGGAGCAAGAGCAACGGTGTAGAAAGACATGTTTGGGAAGAAAAGGACGTGAAGGAGAGAGAGAGAGAGAGAGAGAGAGAGAGAGAGAGAGTGGGCACAAAGAGATGAATTGGGGGAAGAACTGAGTAATGGAGAGAAACAGCAGTCAGTAAGAAGCCGATAAAAATAGCTGATGGTTAATTGAAGAGCAGTTTGTTCCCATTTGGTTCGCACACGTCCTCTCTCACACAACGTCTATCTCGTGCGAGGCTTTCATGGGCCTGGAGGAAGCAGACGAGGCAGCGCGGTGAGCTTTTCCACTGCTCTCTAATCGTGTTTCCTCCATCCAGCTCATTTCTGCACTGCCTCTGATGGCAATTAGCCCCATGCTGACTCGACAAATTCATCAGCGACAACACTGACCTCATTTTGCTCCCAATCCAGAGGGCACTAATGCCCACATTGTTGGGAGTAAGCCCACTCTTTAAGACTTCAAATGGGATGGACGGTTAATGACTGTCTGATGCAGGGAGAAGTTAAGGTTTTCATTTCATTTGAAGAAACTTAGGACTGTGCAGCTGCGCTTGTTGCTGTACGATTCAACTTTGAAGTGGAATTTAAAAGGGATGGCTGACGGGATTTGTATAGTTTGTTCACAAACAAGAGATATAGACACAGCATGCTCTGTCTGGAGATACCACTTCTTTAAAGAGAGTTAAATGAAAAGCGAGAGATTTCTGTTGTGGCACACAGGAGACACAAATAAGTATCGACACCCAGACATTACGTGTCTATAAAGTCTGGTAAAGGTCAGTAAAAAGGTCTAAGTTTATGTGATTGCATGTTTGTCTGGGAGCCAATCCTGTCTGCGTCTCGAGAGCAAACTCATTTATAAGAGCACAAAGGCAGAAGGCTTTGCTTTTACACACAGTACACGAGCCCCCTCTCTGACCATTGACTTACCTCGGTGACGGCAAAGACTCTCTTCCCGCAGGGCACAACCTTATACCATTTGTCGTGCAGCATGTCCATGAATCCGTCAGACTTGTAGCGACTCACAAACTCGGACACATTACGAGTCAGAGGTGAGCCCTGGGGCAGGCCGATACCATAGCCTGAAAGACAAGACACATACAGATGTAAATGCACAAGCTATAGGTAAGAGGTGAGAGCGCACGTCTAAGGAGGAGAATAGCGTCCAAGCTGGTGTTGTGTTCGGATATTGTAGTTTGCCAGAAGCAGTTCAGCAAAGGGCAGATACCTTCTGGAAGAAAAGGAGATTTATGGCCTTACAGGCTTCATTTTGAAATTGGTATCAACAATGTTTTCTGCAAAGTCTGATGCATATACTGTGATACACTGTGTCCCAGGCTTTCTCTGGTTTGGTATTGTAGGGAAACAAAGCACAGCTGGTGGACATGTCCCTTGTGGTATAGATAATACACTGTTGTGGATCAGATTCTGGGTTTAGGTATAAGAAGTATGTTCCTCCCTCTGGTATCAGGGATGAAAACACCAGTGGCATCTGTCTTTATCACATACCCTTCATGTTTCTTTAGGGTTCAGTCTCGCCCAAGGACACTGACAGAGCCGCAGATACAACCACCAGCTCTCTGCATAGCTGACAATCTGCAGAGCATCAGCAGCTGAGAGAAGACGACAGCTCGGACATGCTAACTTTCCGTTGAAGCCTTGTGAAGCATCCTGAACCTCGTCTAACACTACGCACCATTACATGGAAACGCTAAATGTTTTGTCTGAAGCCCACGTCGGTACACTCTCCCCCCACCATCTGTCACATCAGACCATTTTTCAGCCTAATATCAAGCAGTCTGATGCCAGCTTAAGGGCTGGCGAGGGATCAAGTCTGACTCCCCTCTCTCGGCTCCCTTCAGCGGATGGGCTGCAAATATGCTCATATTTTACCTGACTGTGCTCCTTACAGGCAGTTACATTTCATTTAGTTGCAGTCTCATGGCTGTGCTCGGCTTGTGGTGATTTGTTATTCTGTCGTAAATCACGCATGTTAAACCCCATGAGGTGGTGGGGGGGGGGCTGGTCCAACACCACCTCCTGGACATTTTGTTCTGCTCTGAGAAACTCGTAACTCAAGATTTAAATGTGGAAATGTCAAAAATGATGCTTTCTCTAAATGTCATGAGGCCAAGAAGAATTTCTTTCTCTTTTCTCACCTGTACATCAAACTCGCCTTCCCTTGTCACCCCCAGCCAGTGTGACTGGCTTCTTTTTTTATTATCTTTCCATAGTACTTGATAATTTTCATTTTGTTAGACGTCCTTTCTGTCAGTGTTAGTCAGTGACAGGTTCCCATGGAGCTCGCCTGAGGAATTTTAAGAGGTACATGACACTTCCTACTAGTTCAGCCATTAACCTGTAATATACATACCTTTTTATTCCATTTTCAACAGATCCTTTTCCAGCTATATGTTCTCTTTGGTCACCACACTTCCAGAATTCATAAATATAACCCGCACAGCATCAAAAATAATTGGACCACCTACCTCTCCCCTACCCTGACCTCACCACCAGAGCCGTCAGTTGCGAAACATTTATCGTAGTCAGATCCTCGCCCCGCGCTCACTTCAGGCTCATCCCCTCTGGTTACAGATATAAGACCCAAGTTTGAGAGCGAGGCCATACAAAGGGCACTTTCACTTCATCTGCATGGGAACTTGATAACATGCTGACGTTACAGCTCCTGTGTGGGTCTTGTTCTGGTGTTGTCGGTTCTCCCCTGGTACAGTGTGCACTCTTTAGGTGGAGCTATTTGTTGCAGGTGGCTATTGAAGCAGCTTCCCGGGTGTATTTGTTCCTATATTTTGTTTTCACAGCCATGACTGTGAAGAAAGAGATCATAATGAAACTAGAATTGCACTCAGTAGAGCGCATACCTCCGCCAAGGCCCAACAGTCCCCTTACATCCAAATTTCACACCCTCATGGATGTCAAGTCTCTAACTGTGCTTGATTTTCTTTTTTATTTCCATCAAGGTCCATAAATTATAACCTGGGAAAACAGTGAAAATGTTGCATTGTTAAAGACAAATCCTGCATCCGCCTCCTGATCCGGATCCACACCAAGATTTTTTGGGTTCTTCCCTGATCCATACCACATCCTGCCACCAACGTTTGTGGAAATCGGTTAAAACCAACCAACAAACAAGTGGACAGGGGTGAAAACATAACCTAGAATGGCAGTAGAGCACATACCTCTGGTGAAAGTTAAAGAAAGTGGTTAAATATATTTCCAAAGTTTGTGGAGATATATGCATTTTTTTGCAAACTAACACTGAGGAGGAGCTGATCTTTTTTTTTTACATTTGCAGGCTTCTAGATTTGCAGCAGCTCAGTTTAAATGTATGAAGTTACAAGCACAGTTTGGCACGATGGCAAAGTAATGACACTTGACTACTTGCCTTTATGTGAGAGCTCTAACTATTAAGGAGAAACACAACATTTGTTCCACTACATGCAACTAACAGCTACAGTTGTTGGTTATACTGCAGAGTGATAGTTTACATGCAAAACATACAAAATGCTCATAAAACGTTCTGCAACACTGGAGGAAAAACTTGCGGGGTGCAGGCGTCGCAGAAATGGATTTAATAGCTTTAAAAAAAAAAACATTTTAATTAGGCTGAAGGCTGTAATCCAAATCATTATTATCATACATTAAATATTCATCTGTAGAAAAGTTTTATCATCACTTGACCGCTGTTGCCTTGGATTTACTTGGGAAAAGTAAAACACCAGCAGTCTGTGGAGTAATGAGACCAGACACCGCAATAAAACACACTATCGTTACAGCAATAAAATTATAAAACTATAATATTTTTAATTAAGAAACAGATTTAAGGACTTTTTTTTCTCACTACTGTTTATTGCTTTAATTTCAGTAGCGACACATTCATCTGTCTTTTGCACGAGTTGAAGAGAGAAACGCTGCCCTGCTCTAAACGGACTTTGAAGAGTCCATCTGTTTTTGCATTAGAGCCCACATCTCTGTCTGCAGCTAAAGCAAATATGCTCCTCGGCTCCGAGTCAAAGGACCCTCTTGGATATTTATTGCAATACAAGACCACCTGGGGTTGTTTGTTTCATTTCATCTGTACTGTAATCAAATACGCAACCGATGCCAACACCATTTATTTGTACGTTCGTGATTGTCTCAGACCTGGCAGCTCTTTGTGTGTGTGTGTTGGCTGTCAAGGTGTTCGAGCCCGATGGAGTGCGCGGACGTAATCAGAGAATGGCGTAACTGTCACACTCTGCTTCCTACATGACAAAGACCATCTGAATTTCCCTCCTGTCACTCTCGCCCTCCGTCCCCTCCTCATTTTCTCCCTCTCCCTCTCCCTCCATCATCTCTCTCATCCTTCCCCCTCCCCTGACCCAGGTCATTTCTTTCCCACCACTGCCGCTAGTCTCTCCCTCAGTTAGTCTGCTGCTTATCTCTGTCATCCCTTCACTTTTGTTCAATTTCTGCTTCACTTCATTCTCCTCTTTATCTCTTGGCTGCTCTCCCGAGTCCATTTCTTTGTCTCTGTGCGTCTGCTGTCTTCTTTCTTGTTTTTCTTTTTTCTCCGGCACACAGGAAGCATTTTTCTGTCATCAGCCATATCTATCCTGCATTTTTTCTTGAGAGCACTCAGTCAAATACTGAAACACAAGTGGGCAGCCACTTGTCATTTGTTTTATTTTTCCCCAGACATCCACATATTCCATCACACGCATCGAATCCCCAAAGCTGTCACTCAAATCCCCCCACACCTACTCACTCAGACACACCTGTGCACTTCAAGTCACAAAACACCCTATAGACAGGAAGCTTACAAAAAAATGTGCTTCCTTATTTTAAAAACACAAATCACAACTGCTTCTATATGCAAGGTGCAAGGTTCTTACGTTCTCTCATGACTTTCAAATGATAGTTTTAAATAAATAAGCATTAATCGGGTTGTTCCTTTTGATTTCTATGAATGAAAATTACTTTCTATATGTGGCTTTCTACTGTTTTCCTGTTGAATACTGCTAAAAATATAAAAGACATTATTGTTGGTGTACTAGATGATTTTTTTGCCTGACTTTGCCAGGTGCGTACCAGCAAATGTCGGTACTATTGTAATACTATAGTTTAGTAAAACACAGTAATAATCATTTTCTAACAATAACTAACACATTTTTTAATTGATAAATGTAATATTTTTTGGGTAAATGTCAAACTAGCGAAACGTCCATTACAAGTAAATTATCACATAAGGGAAAAAAGCTGTATTTTTACATAAAATGATTAAATTATTCATCACTTATAATCAAATGTGTTGCTGATGTCTGTCAAAAACCAATTGTTCAGCTCCACATAATTAGTTTTACTTCAGTGCAGCATTTAAGAGGAGGCGCGTGTTTTCAAATGATGCTATTTTCCCATTAGATTCAAACACACACACACACACACACACACACACACAGACACAGCACAAGGAGAGAAAGGCTTCACTCCTGCCAGACGTGAGCCGCACGACCGACAACCGTCTCACCCCAGCAACAAAATCAAAATCCTGTGCCAGCACAGCTTCATTTTGATCTTCAGACACGCTCGGTCCCACTTGACTGAGCTTGTGTAGACTACCTATGTGCACACACACACACACACACACACACACACACACACAGGCACACACAAACAAGTAAACAGTGAGTGGCTGCGTATTCAGAGGCAATATTATTAATGGGGTGTGTCTAGGCTGTCGTAAACATCTCCCAACAGCACTCAGAGGAAACAGACACACAGCGACACCCCCACATCTCCCTCCACTTAAGTAGCCTGAAGATTTTCAGCAGAGCACCTCAGCCTGCAGCGACTCCACGGCCCCAATTCCTGCCTCTCTCTCTCTCTCTCTCTCTGTATCTCCTGACCACAAACCGCTCTATAAATCCTGCCGGCATCCTCACATGGACCAAATAACACTTCCTCTCTTTCTCTCCTCCTTCCTCTCTCTCTCTGTCCTTTCTCCCCCTCCCTCCCTCCCTCCCTCCATCTGCTCGGGGTGAAGGTTTGTCTTGATTAGGGGACTCTGTTGGCTGCCTCTTTTATC